CAAATACTCAGGTTGCCATTCTAATTTTTTAATTTCATTTTTTATTTTTGGTGCCAGCAAGTGTTCCATTTTTTTCCATTTCTTTTCCTGGAAAGATATTTTAATTCCTATGTACAAATCTACTTCATGTGAATTAAATGCCTCAAGTGTGTGTGTATACGTATAAACTTTTTTAAAGTAGTGTTATCTTCTTGTGATCAGTATTTTTAAATGTGGAAATCTCTTTTTAGGAATGCTAATGACTGCCAATGAAGCCCCTAAAATGAATATCTATTATATACCAGTAAGTAATACAAACTGTTGCCAGTATTGCTCTTTTAAAACTCAGTTGTTTGATGCCATTCAGGTATTCCTGTTGGGGAAACTACTTCTGCACATACTTACCTACAGTCTTTGACTTTTCATGATAAAGTAAATTTAAGCTAACTGTAATTTTATTAATGTAACTTATTGAATTACTAAAAAACAGTTTGTAATTTGCCTCTTGCTACCAGTTCCTAAACTGACTGGTGGCAGTAGGAAATTCAAGTGGACCTTTGTATGGAAAAGTAGTTTTGATAGCTGATCAGAAAAGAATTCCTAAATAGGAACTATATAGCTTACTTTCAAAATAATAATTTTGCTTTGTTGTGAAATATTTCATTACTGATGTGGTTTACAGTGGCATAATCATGGCAGTAAATATTCTTCTCTGTTCTGACAAAGAAGTGTTTCTGTGTGACTCCAAGTGTGGCTCTTGCTGCAGCTGCTGCTCAGTGCCCCACTTGAGTTGCAGCGTTGCCCTTGAGAAGCATAACCAAGGTTCACTGGTGTTACCTCTCTGCAGGTTGGTTTTAGGGAGACTTGGTAGCAAACCTCCTAGGTTTTAGGGAGTGGTACAGAAAACTACACCTCCATTTCGCTCTTGTTTTGGTTTTTTATCCTACAGTGCATTCAAATAAATAGTAGGATATATATGCGAATGTGATGTATAGAGTAGCTGACCAGACTATAAAAGTACATACACTTCTTCTGAAGTAGTTTTATTCACATTTTGGACAAACTATATTTTTTTAAAAAATTTTGAAATATGTTTTTAACTTTTTAAAATCAGCCAAGATAATAAATCTTAAATTAATTTAAATTTCATTTTCTTTAATTTATTCCTGCATTCCCCTCCATCCCCCATCTGATCTTGATTACATTTAAGATGGCAATTCATCAGTTTACATTTTCTTTGTGGAAAACAATATACCTGTTGTATGTATGCATCTAAACAATTCAATAGTATGGTTATATTTACTTGTATTATTAGATTTTTGCATTTAAAGAAAGGTAGAATTTCATGCATGAGTTCTGTGTGTGTCATTTTATATCAGGTTGTTTGGATGTAAATTATGTATTTCTCTAATTCAGCTCCAACTTATATTGTGTTAACTGGAGCTGTGCCATGCTTTGGATAACAGAGTGAGGGGAACAGTAAATATTTTTGTATTTAAGACAAATTTAGAAGCTGAACACTTTGTTTCTGTTTACCCTGTCCTTTGTAAGATTTAGAGAGTAGCTCTCCAAGCATTTTTTTTAATCTATCATCTTTTTAATGGATTGGGGAAGATGAGCTCCCATGTTTTCAAAGTCTGAGTTTTTAAAACTTGAACGGGCTGGGAACTCTATTTAAGTAATTCAGATGGAAAGAACATTCCTTCTGTTACTAAGCATGATCTTCAGCTTCTCTCTGAAAATTGTGCACTGGGATTTTTTTATGCAGATGTGCATGGTACATGAACTTTACAGCTTTAATACGTTGGAGGTGCATATCCAGCATAGCTGCTTAGTGAAAAAATGACTTCATTGTCTAGATAGTCACCAGCAATGAATGTTTGTTAAAATGTGTTCTAGTCAGTTTTATTTTGAGTATTCTTCCACATATGGTAAATAAAAATGATTTTTTTAATTCTCTCAAAAATCTCACTCACGGGATCCTCTGTGAATACTGAATTCATGTTTCTGAAGTAAGATGAGTAATTTTTAGCTAAGAAATATCAACACTCCATATTAGATCTCAAATCATACCTGACAGTCATTAACTGCAAACCTAAATATTGGCTAATACTGTCTAGTATTTTTGCAGCATGCAGGCTATTCCAGTGAAAATTACCACAGGTCTTTCCATAAACCATCTTCCTTTGTCACCATTCTCTGTTCATTGTTACCAAATTCTGCCCAAACTTGTTTGGATCATGCCTTTTTATGGGTTTTACATTCACAGTGACACATAAGTATACAAATTGACCCAAATGATAGATATTAAAGCGTAAATCCAAATACGAGTTCTGTTTTTTACATACTGTTGTGTATAAGGAAACTTAAAATTTGATTCAAAGGCTACTGCCCAGACTAAATTAACATCTTATTGAAACTTCTAAGTTCACGTCAATGGGTTTGAGTTTGAAGGCTGCTGAAGATACCTCAAACACTGGCATGCTTGGAGGATTTTCTTAGTCAACAATCTATAGTTAATTTCAAAACATAAAGTGCTTATTTTAGACAATAGAAAAGTTAAAGGCAGTGAGAAGAAGTTATGTTGAAATAGAGACAGAGGTCTCACACTGTCTTTTCTACCTTGTCTGCCTTTTCAAGGGCAAGGTTGAAAGGGCTGGCACAGACAGTATTGTATAATTGAAGAGTTTCTTACTTGATTTTTAGGAAATACAGTATGCAGCTCACGAAATCTGTTCCAGTTGGTTGTTCTGTGTTTTTTAAATCTCGTTTTTAAATGAAGAATATATAAAATGGAGAAGTCGTGTCAGCCTTAAGCTGCTCCAGGGCATTTGTTATTAAGGCAAACTCAAGGTTATTAATGTGTTCATGTTAGTTTTATACCTTGATCTTTTGGACTAGTTACTTAAGCTCAGAGATGCACACTCAGAGACATCCTTTGGTTTTCATATCAGTGGATTATTGAGGCACTTTTTTTCCCCCGTCCTTCGAACATTTGAATAATTTCCTTGCACAGGCAAATACGAGTTTAGTTGCATCTGCCTTTGGAGCAAAATTTTAAAGAACTGGGGATTTGCTGTATTACCTGATCTCTTTTCACAGTCTAGTTTTCTGGCTTTTTCTAAGAACTAGGAATCACTGGTTTTTTCCAAGGAATAGCTTAATTTTCTATTTGTTTGTTTACCTTGAGATAGATGTGAATACCACTTAAAATGTGTCCTTTTGTTTTTGAGATGTTGACGAGAACCGAGTTATAAATCTTGAATTCCATGACAGAGTAAATGCCTGGGGGAAATGCTCCTGCTATAAAGGACAGTTGTGTTTCAGAGCCCTTGGAAGTACTTTTGTGTCAAAAGAATCCATTTCATTGCCTCTCATTGCCCTGTAGTGCTAGTAATTATTCTCTTTTTTTAAGTCTTCATTGGAACAGCTACAAGGAATTACCATGACTTGTGGTCAAGGAGGATACTTAAAATCTCAAATGTATGGTGCTGTGCTCAAGCTCTCTAGTTTATAACATGAGAAGAATAAATCTTCGGAAGAAAAGACACGCAGAAATCAGTGTCTTACAGAGCAGGAGTAGATGGGTGCAGACCCAGCATCCTCTGTCCTTCCTTGGCTGGAGTTGGCCAGACAGCACAGGACTGTGCCCATACCCCGCTCTCAGCAGGTTTCTTCAGTGTGGGCACAGCGCTGTGCTAACACAGCTCCACTGCCGGGGAACTGGAGCTGGCTCGGGTCTGGCCGGCTCAGAGTGCGTGCGGTCTGGCTGAGCTCATGTCTGCCTGAGTTATTTGTGTATGTGTGCCCATTCTCTCCGTTGTTAATGCCAAAGCTAAATTTCCATTGCAGAACCAAAAAAAAATGACTCTCTTGAACCTGAGGATTATACAAGAGTTGACAATGGGAATCATAATATTGTCTGCAAATGAAATAGCAAGCATCAGCTTTTCCTGCAGAATTTTTAACAAGATACGTATGACATTTGAAACTAGGAATGTCTGAGAGATCTATGTGTTTCTTTGGAAAAAAATCACTGCAGTTGTTTCTTCTGTGTGCAAAGCAGTTAGAGAGAAGAGGTTTTTGGTTTACTAGAAAAGACAGGCAGGTTTGCTTTTAAATGACAAGAAGATGCACAGGTACACAGTGCAGAGAGTAAGTAAAAGCCAAATTGAATCTGACCGTTAAAATGAGATGTTTGTTTTACATAGGTAACAAATGAATGGCTCAGCTTAGAGACTTTGTTTTTGTTTTATTTTGTTGGACTTTAATGAGGGCGAGTGCCTCTGACAGGAATTGGGCTGCGTGCCAGCAGTTTAATAGTCAACTTGCAGTTTATGCAAACATTTGGAGCCTGCTCCTTGCCAGCTGGCTTCCTGGTCCATCGCTTTGATGTGTGCCTCCAAAGGCTGAATTGAAAGTGTGTGCCTTGGGATACTTTTCAGACTCCTGACTCAGAGACGTGCATTGAGTCAATAGTGCAACCATGTCCTGGCCAAAGAAGTGAGGGGAGGAAGAAGCTCCACCAACGCATGGTGGTCCTCTGGCCTGGGGTCTAAGACAAGCCAGATTCTCTAAAGTTTAATTGAGGCTGTCAGCTTTCTTGACATAGAGTGGTCTCTTTACAGGTTGTACAGAAAAATCCCTATGTGTTAGCTCCTGGATGCTCTGGATGCAAAGCAAGGGGCATAGGTGTTAGTTATTCTTAGTGTTTACTACTATGTGAACATGTCTGATCTTAGCACAGACATTTCAAATCAGTCCCGTCTCCTTTATTGAAACTTTGGTCTACATAGGCATACTGAAACTGAAACTCGCTCTGTTCATTAGACTGTTAAAAGAAGAGAGCAATTAAGCATGTAATTAATTGAGTGTAATATTCTGTGTTCTGGATTTTTTTTGCTTTCCTGCAGTCTTGGCAGAAACGTCCTTGTTGAGGCTAGAAGCAATGTACTTTTGGTGTAGAGAAGATATTAAGCTCTTTAAGAAAAAAACAAATCCTGGAGCATCTCTGGCTTCTTTTCAGGTGGTTTTGGAAAATCATTTGATATCCTAGCACTCTCCTAGTTCAGGGTTGTTGGAATTATAAACTGGAAGTATTTCAAGGGCAAGTATTTCTTGCCTACTCAATGATTCAGTTTCTCCAAGAATATCTTTATAATGGGTCTGGTTTCTAATACAATACCAGCTTTGGATATGTGGATTTCTTTATTGTTAGAAATTTTGTCATCTGCAAATTGGGTGGCTTTTCAACTAAACCAGCCATTCCTGGTAATTCTTTCCTTTAGTAAATACTATTTTAAA